TCTCTCTTCTCTCTCTCTCTCTCTCTCTCTCTCTCTCTCTCTCTCTCTCTCTCTCTCTCTCGCCTATTACTTTAGTTTCAGAATATATCGGCGAACGACGTTTATGTATAGTTACTAGTTAGCGAATTCACGACGATGTACTCGCGGGTACGGGTCATCTGTGTATACTACCAGCGTTGCTTGCCATAGAGAATTTATCGTAATTTGTCTGCCGGGCATCGGGTATTCCGCTAAAATTCTAGAACTTCAAACGGGCTCTCGGGTATTCGAATGTAGCAGTTCGAAGCCGCGTGGTACACCCCCCCCCCTACCCCGGATTCAACTCCGGGCCTCCGGAGTCGAAGTTTCCGCCGCGGCCGCGAACAAGGATATTGTTAGAACTTTCTTGCAAGGTATGCCGCATGTACGGATGGAGCATGTACGCGGTACGTTTTGTACTTATATATCGGACCCTGGCGGCGCGGCGCCTCCTTAATTGGACGCGGAGCATCGCGCAATGGGAAGAACGAGGGGAGGCGGGGGGGGAGAGAAGGGGGGGGGAAAAAAGAAGAGGGACTGGCTCGTCGGGGCTGCCGGCTGTGCCGCGTTTCGCGTGCTGCGTCTCGACGAGGAGAGGGCGGTTATCGCAGCGAAAAAGGCGGATCACGCGCTGAAATATGAAATTACAGCGAGCTCTTGATGAGTATTTTTCTACCTTCTCTATCCGAGACTAAATTGCAGTCCCTATTTAGACAGGATTTTTCGGCGTGGCGGTTTCGATGCGCTTTGCGATTTACATTTCGCGTCACGATACGGAAGGTTTAAGTGGACGGGACTATTACTCTTTATTCAGGGTGATTGACGCCGCGATGCCTATAGGCAGATTCGCATGTAAACGTGTCTGTTATTAGAGTTTCCTCGTTAGACAACGAAAAGGGAAAGGAATGGTTGAATCGAATTCTAGAAATCCCAAGACGTTCTATCAAAGAAAACCTTTAACATTTTGTCGAGCCTCAAAACGAGTTTCGACGTCTCGATTAAGGTCAACGTTGCTCGTGGAATGATGAAATAGTTTCTAAGGAAAATTATAGTGGGAAAGAGACCGCGCCTTGGAATTTCCTAGTTAATACTCGATCGTAGTCAGACACAAATTGAGCTCCAGTTGTGTTCACAGTTCGTGTTCGACAATTTATTAGAAATTATTCTTTTTCTTCTAATCGACCAACTTCTTGATCGAAATAATAATCTTTTTTTTTGTACTAAAAAATTATTTGCATTAGCAGATGGTAAAA